ATAAGAAGAGACTGGGTGCAGTGGCTCATGCCTATAATCCCAGCACTTCGGGAGGCCAAGGTGGGAGGATTGCTTGGGGCCAGGAGTTTGAGACTAGCCTAAGCAACATAGTGAGACTCTGTCTCCACAAAAAATTAAAAAAAAAGAAAAAAAAAAAGAAAAAAGAAATAAGAAGAGTTAGTGGCTATGATGTGGTTAGTTTAGCAAAATAACATTTGTGGAAATTAGAACATTGGCATATACAATCCATCCACTTTAGCTAAGCCCAAAAGTTTTACTTATCTTAGACAAGGGTTTGAAAAAAATGGAATGTGGAAGAACTATTCTAAGATTAATTTTGTGTGATTATTTGAAAGAATCAGAAGGTTAACAGAATCAAACCCCAATTTCTCATGTATAGTTAATAAGCAAATTCCACTATATGTAACACACCACTTTCTGCCTGGCTGCGTAGCAATGAACTCAAGGTAGGAGGAAGGAAGTAGTAAACCATATATGAAAAGACCTGAGTTCTAGTCCAAGTTCCATCACTAAACTTATTTATAAATAAAAACATCTGGTTCTAGCTACTAAGTACAATTGTGGTAAATATCAAATGAGGTCATATATATGAAAATACTTTGAAAACTGAAATCTGATCCTATTGAAAATGGTTTTTCTCTACAATATTTATTTATATGTTTCATTATTCCAAAAGGGTTTGAGATAGTTTTTAATAAAACAAAAGTCATTAAAACAAGAATAAAAAGATAGAAGTCAAGTAACTGATATACCTCTAACTATATATAACAATTCTACCAGAAAATCTATACTAAGAAAGGTATACGATTAAGCATAAACTTAGTTGAAATTCTGGAATAAAGAAGAAAACATCGTGAGACAGTTTTATTTAGTGAAACAAAAAAATTCAAGTTCAAAATGACAGATACATGTTTTTCTATCTAAGAGTAGAATCTCTAACAAAACTTCAGTATCAGGGACAGGGAACCGAATAATGAATAAACCTAGTAACAGCATTAATTAAAAATAATAACCAATTTATGGAGGAATATAAACTGACACAAGCACTTGGAAGAGCAACTGGGGAGGATACGCATTCATTCAACAATTCCACTCTTAGTATGCTACCCCACTGAGATGCTACTACAGATATAAGGATGTTTATTTAGCCTTATTTGAAATAGTAGAAATGTCCTAAATGTTCCTCAGTGGAAGAATGTTAAATGTTACATTTATACAGTGAAATATGATGCATGTAACTGTTAAAGAGACAATATACATAACTATATGTATGTTTGTATGTCTACAGCATATAAATAATGTAGGTTTCACTTGTGTAAAAAAACTGATAACATGTGTATACATAAATAGAATGGAAAAGAATGGAGGAATATATATCGCTCTTACTATTGGGGAGGGACGAAAAGGATTTTTACTTTTCATTAATACTATAAACCTCTAGCATTTGAATTTTGACAACTGTATATTCATTTTTTTTTTTTTTTTTTTTGAGACAGAGTCTCACTCTGTTGCCCTGGCTAGAGTGAGTGCCGTGGCGTTAGCCTAGCTCACAGCAACCTCAAACTCCTGGGCTCAAGCGATCCTACTGCCTCAGCCTCCCGAGTAGCTGGGACTACAGGCATGCGCCACCATGCCCGGCTAATTTTTTTTTCTACATATTTTTAGTTGTCCAGCTAATTTCTTTCTATTTTTTCTAGTAGAGATGGGGTCTCACTCTTGCTCAGGCTGGTCTCGAACTCCTGAGCTCAAACAATCCGCTCGCCTCGGCCTCCCACAGTGCTAAGATTACAGGCATGAGCCACTGCGCCTGGCCCGTATATTCATTTTATAAGTTAAGAAGTATATAAGTATTGCTATATATGTGAGTATTCATTATATTGCTTCTTAATGAAAAATCAAAAACATAATGTTAAATCAGTTCCATCAAAGCTATAGATGCATATACAGAGAGGATAAGGGATAAAGATAATGAATAAAGCTTTAAAAATCCCAAGGTATTAATCTCTTAAAACTAGCAGTTTTCAGTTGCTGGAGGAGGGGTATACCAAATTAAACATGTAGGGGGACGGTGGTATTTCTCTAAACTTCACTTCCCTTTTTCAGATTATGATAAACCTCTTTTCTTAAGTATGCTTTCTAGTTTGAGTGAGAACCTCTGTAATAGTGCATCTCTGTTACTGACAGGAGAATGTTGTAGGCCTTAGGTATGCTGAAGTAGGGAAAAAATAAAGATTATGTATCAATGTTGTAGAACATCTTGAATAACTAAAATTATCTGGATATGAAGCTAACTTAAACTAAAAATACACATACAGGTATAGATATGTACCTCTTTATATCTACCAACAAAGAGCTTAAGAAACAAGATGCCTGAGCTCATTCAACTTAAATAGTGGATAAGAAGTTTAGTAAAAAATGCCTGCCTTCTACTTACTATCAGAAGTTTCAGTTTTGGGAGAGCTAAAAAGTTTGCTAATTGAAAATTGGCTTTTAATAGAGTTGTAATGCTAATTAAGTGTTATACAAACCAAGGCTGATTTTTTTAGCTGTAACTAAAAAATTAGTGTGCTGGGGTCAAACTTTTACACGTATTTCAGATACAGATTACTTCAGGGCATTAGAAAACTAATGCAACGAAGGAGGTTTAATGTGTATATTTAATTTGTAATTAAGGTGGGGGGGGAAACTATATAATGGCACTACTGGGTTTTATGAACAAACCAAAATGAAGAAATCAATGAATGAATGAATGAGGCATTTGGAGAGGCAATGCTTTAGGGGAAAAAAGAGAGAAAAAAAGTACCTTCACACAAATACCTTTGATCACATAAAAGCAGAATTCAAAAGCATTTTATAATAGATTTAGGTGAAAGATAAGAAGAGGTAAAGGAGATAAGAGACCTAAGTGCCAGACACAGACATCATAGAAATGAAAACTTTAATAATTTTGCAAGAGAAAACTTTGCTTTTTGTGAGCCAAAACGCAAAGTGTCTGAATTTCAGCAGTCCTTATGTTTACGTTATCAGAATTCATGACGCTACCTTTTATATGAAAAGGAGTAATGACTGACTGTGCTGGCAGACTACAACCAAGCCAATCCTACTTCCACTTGAAACATTATGAAATACAAAGATTTTTAAATGCCACTTTTAGAAGGAAAGACAAATTATTAAAAGGAATAATGAGACCATTTTTTGGCATTAAATATATCAAAGGATAATTATTTTCCTTATCTGAAAAAACTCCTGTTCTCTCTTAACACATATGAGGACTAAGTCTAGAGGTTCAATTAGTGGTTCAAAAAATTTAGACTCTTCATGAACCTGCACAAAACAAAGGGACATCTACAGGGCTTACACACTTGAGTAATCCTAAATAAAACTCCGAAGAAAAGAAAATACTTCCATTACAGACCTTTGTATATTAAAGAGTAAAGGAAATATAATAATGGCAGCAAGACTGAGAAAAGACTTGGCACTTCTATGATTCCTTCAAAGACAATGCAAACATTAGTTTTTCTTCTCACTTTTTAAAACAGCAATGATCTATTACTCACTATACTGTCCACTGCTAGTTTGGTAAATCGGAGTTGGCACCGTTACAGTGGTGATGGCAGGTGCTGAAGTCTCCTCTTCAGACTTTTCTTCTTCAATCCTTGGCACTCCTGGTGCATCAGAAGATAAGTCATTCAAAATTTTCCTAGAAAAATAGAGAACTGTATTAATTAAAAATGTAAGTAAAATTTACTGCTTAAATACAAATAGTTAAAGATCAGAAAACTGGCAGAAAGCTGCCAATGCTTAGGACAGAAACTTAAAATATATGAATTACAAGAATAAACTCCAAATAGACCAGGGATCAATCTATATGTCAAAATGAACCCAAATAAGTACTGAAAACATCAAAGACTTCCCGGGTGCAGTGGCTCATGCCTGTAATCCTAACAGTTTGGGAGGCTCAGGCAGGAGGATGGCTTGAGGCCAGGAGTTTGAGACCAACCTGGGCAACACAGTGAGACCCCATCTCTACAAAAAACAGAAAAATTAGCTGGGCGTGGTAGCATGCACCTGTAATCCTAGCTACTCGGGAAGCTGAGGTGGGAGGACTGCTTGAGCCCAGGAGTCTGAGGTTGCAATAAGCTATGATTGCACCACTGTACTCCAGCCCGAGTGACAAAGCGATACCCCCTCTCAAAAAAACAAAACCAAACCAAAGATGAATTCTCTTTGACCTGAGTGTAAGTAGAAGCTAACTGTGACCTAAAATCCACATGCAATTAGAGATAAATACAATTGACTAGATAAAAAATTCTTTTGCATTGCAAAAAACACCAAAAATAAAGTAAAAAAAAAAAAAAACAACCCAACAAACTAGGAGAAGATATTTATATATATCACAGATCAAGGGCCAATATCCTCAATATATAAAGAATTCTTAAATTAAGGGGTGGGCCAGGCATGGTGGCTCACATCTATAATCCTAGCACTTTGGGAAGCCAAGGCTAGAGGATTGCTTGAGGCCAGGAGTCCAAGACCAGCCTGAAAAACATAGCAAGACACTAACTCTACAAAAGATAGAAAAAATTAAGTGAGCGTGGTAGCACATGCCTGTAGTCCCAGCTACTTGAGAGGTTGAAGCAGGTGGTTTGCTTCAGCTCAGGAGTTTGAAGTTGCAGTCAGCTATGATGACACTACCACACTCTAGCCTGGGCAAGAGAGTGACACCCAGTCTCAAACAAAAAATAAAATAAAAAAAAATTAAGTGGTAAAAAAGACAAAAAACCTGATTCTTAACTTCTCAATTATCAGATTGGTAGAAATTAAAAAGTATAATATATTCTGTTAGCAAAGCTGCAGGAAAACAAGACCCACACTGCTGCTGGGAGTATAAAATTGGCACAATTCTGATGGAAGGAACTTGGTGACATCTAAGAAAACTACATGTTTAAGCATCAGTCTCACTTCCAGGAATTCACCCTATTTCCAACAGTATGAAAACGTTTGCTTAAGGTTATTCACAGTAGTACTGTTTGTAACTGCAAAATACTGGAAGTAATCTATATGTTCACACAGAGGAGAGTGGCTGAATAAACTATGGTACATCCAAATAATGGGTATAGCATGACATCTATCATGTAAGAAAGAAAGGGAAATAAAAAAGTATACATGTATCTACTATTTGTTCAAGAAAAAAAAATCAGGTTGGATAAACCAGAGCTTAAGGAGTTCAGTTATCTACTGGGGGTTATGAATGGGTGGGACAGAAGTGAAAAGGACAGAAGAAATGTGGGGAGGGTCGATGGTGCACTATTGAGTAAACTCTTTTGAACAATTCTGATATTTGGAATAGTGTTAATGTTTCACATAGAAAAATAAAGTTAAGGTCAACAGGGATGGGGGAAAAACTCTAAAATAGAACACAAAAACGAATGAATTTTACCATATTTCAAATGAATAACATAATCACACTGAGAAGGGGAAAAACCCCTAACTCAAATAATTTTTGACATTGTAAATTTATAACAATATTTAGCTTCAACAGTCTACCCAGACTCTGCCCCTTTATGTTGTTATTGCTAAACAAATGACATCTTCATACACTGTATGCTCATTAACAAGATTTATAGTTATTGTTTTTATGCCTTTCTCTTTCAAATCACATAGGAAGAAAAGAGGATTTACAAACCACAACTATAACAATCCTGGCTTTTATATTTACCTATGTAATTACCTTTAACTAATGTAGAAAATATTTTGCTATTATCTCTCTTTAAATACTTCCTTTCTCCCAATTTCCCCCTCTGGAAATCCTATAAATGCTTTCATTGGAGGATCTCATTCTGTTCTCCATGAGTTTTCACCTGTGTTTCACATAGTCTACTTTTTTCTGTTCTCCATTCTCAGTTATTTTCTCAGATCTCTTCAGTTTGCCAATTCTCTCATCAGCTACTTTCATCTAGTTTATCCCATTTACTGTTTATTTTTAAAATGGCCATGAATGTACTTCTCATTTCCAAGACTTCTTACTGGTTCTTTTCTATCTGTTCAGTGAACTCCTTATTGTAAGGATGCTTTTCTCTCCTTTATCTCTTTGGAAATGAAAAACACAACTATGTTGTTTTAAACAGCTCATAGATTGGCAGTTGGTCAACAGATCCTACACCTTAGGTTAACAATGCTCTAGAACCGTGGTCCCCAACCCCCAGGCCATGGACTGGTACCAGTCTGTGGCCTGTTAGGAACCAGGCCGCTTAGCAGAAGGTGAACAGCAGGCCGAGTGAGCCAAGCTTCATCTGTATTTACAGCCGCTCCCCATCTCTTGCATCACTGCATAAGCTCTGCCTCCTGTCAGATTGGCTGCATTACATTTTCATAGGAGCTCGAACCTTAATATAAACTGCGCATAAGAGGGATCTAGATTGCACACTCCTTTTGAGAATCTAATACCTGATGACCTGAGATGGAGCTGAGGTGGTGATGCTATCGTGGGGGGAGTGGCTGCAAATAGATTATCATTAGCAGAGAGGTTTGACTGCACAATAAACATAATACGCTTGAATCATCTTGAAATCATCCCCTCATGCCTGGAAAAATTGTCTTCCACGAAACCGGTCCCTGGTGCCAAAAAGCTTGGGGACCGCTGATCTAGAACAGTGTTTCTCAAACTTAGCACGAAAAAGAAGCACTTAAAGTGTGTATTAAAACAGATTCCTGCGTCCCTGTCTTAGAGAATCTAAATCATTACGTGTGGGGCGGGGGCCCAATAATTTGCATGTCTAACCAGATGCTGATTTACCAGTCTGGTATATAGACAACATTGTGAGTAGTATTGGACTCCAGAGCACTACTTTTTAAACTAAAGTCACAACCCTCATGTGGGCCATGAAAGCAATTAAGTGCACTGTGACCAACATAAAACACCAAATAAGAAATAGGTGAACCAGAGGCTGGGAATGGTGGGGGAAAGAGGGATGGATAGGGGCGGAAAAAAGGAATACAGATGTATTTATTACCACTGAACTACACACTTAAAAACAGTAAAGATGGTAAATTTTACATGTATATTTTATCTCTCCAAAAATAGCTGAACATCACACATGATAAGGGTTAAGTACCGCTTTGTGTAACTTTTGCTTCAGATGTCTGTGTGTACATGTAAGTGTAAAGAAACACATACATAAATATACGTATAATTTATGTGTATGTATTTGTATTATATAGAAAACTGTAATTTAAACAAATATTTCTTACTATGGATTATGGTCAAAAAGTTTAAAAGCTACTTACTAGACTTGCAAATAAATCTACTCTTCTGCATGACAATGCAAACACATGAAGTGATTATTCTTCGATTTCTCTTTCCAGTTTCTCACATTATTGCTCTAGACCATCTTTGTTACCCTCCTTGGATACAGTTCACTTTCTCTTAAAGTATATTCCAGATGTGCTCTAAGCATTGGGATTAATTCCCTTAATCTAGATACTAGGTTTTTACTAATGTAGTTTTACAATGTGTTGGTTTTTTGGGCAGCCATATCACATCAACGATAATTAAAGAGCTTAATTATCTTTTACAAATGAATTCTTAATCCAAAATCCTGTACTGAATAACTCGTTTTATTTTATACAAGTTCAGAAACTTTACAGTTATTACTACCATTACACCCTATTTGTTTCAGTCTGTTTCCCTTGGCTGCTATGATCTTTCAAAGTACTTATTCTCTCCTACCCATCAAGGTACTTTTAAGGTTCTGTCATTTACAAATTTGATAAGCATGGTTTCTATGTTTTTCAGATAAACTGCTGGTAAAAATACCAAGCCAACTGAGACCAAGTGAGAGCCCTTTGAGAACTTCCTCTGGATATAAATTAATCACTATTAAGGTGGATTGTTCCAATAAAAACTCACCCAGTATTTTCACTTACCACGTAATCCCCATTTCTCTAACCTTACAAGCGTATAAAAAAAAAACTTTTGTTAAATACCTTGCCCAAGACACAGAGACTAGGTTTCAAGAATTTATACGTTTAAAATAAAAGAACAGAATCCCAGTGTGGAAGTCTGATTGTAAGGAAGATACAATTATCTTTCATGACAGTGGTCCTTTATGTATGTGTGGTCTCAGGGCATCTTTCATTTGATTATTAAGGTGCTATTATTTCAATGACCTTTGCTAAGATTTAGGCTACATACCAATTAAAGCAAATAAAAAGTTTTTTTCCCAATGTAAAGCTCATATTTTATAAGGTCTACAATTAAGATTTCCTTAGCATTTATACAGAGAGAAGCCATGTGGTTTGTTTCTTAGTACCAAATGTGTTATATACTAACACATGTGCTTCAAGATCAAATGTGTTATATACTAACATGAGATATACTTCAAAGCTAAAATCTAACACTAGCTATATTTAAAACAAAAGAAATTATGAGTATAAATGCATATAACACATACCTGGTAGCATAAAATTTTTTAAGACCTCAAAATCAATTTATTGACATTCATTTAGGACCCTTAATTTAATTGTGAGGATAAACAAAAGAGTTTAGTTTAGAAGCCAAGTAAGTGGGGGAAAAAAGACATCAAACACCCCTTGAACAACAGGAATGTAATTAGAATAATTTAGAGTAACAGGGAAGATAATTATGAGCCTGAGGTTTATTAAACTCTGAAATAAGCTTATCAAGATCTATGGAATTGCCCTTCCTGGAGATATTTAATATGGAACTAATTTCTACATATACCTGCCTTACATGGAGGTAAGGCAGTATCTATAGCTGAACACAAACTAGAGTAAAGGAGCCCCTAAAATTAGGGGATGTTAGAAAATGCTATAACCTTATTAAATGTATTCCAGATTTTTAACAGAAAGGCAGCAGCCAGCACAGCCTACAAAAACAAAAAATATCAGTGTTTACCCAGGACTGTTCAGAGTAAGAAGTTTTCTTATTCTGTATGATAAGCTTCAACTTATTTGAGAGAAGTAACTCAAGATGAAGAGAAGTAATCTGTAAGGTTACTCAAAGCTAATTGGTCTTCTAACATCTCTTATCTGCAACTAACTGAGGCTTTCTGCATATCCTTGTTTCTAAATTCTAACTATTAAATTCCATACCTGTAGGAAGGCCTTCTTGAAAGAATTTCCCTTCGTTTTTGGGAATCAGTTACACTGTCCACTGACTCCTGTGAATCTTCACTTTCTGCAATAGTTGAAATCTGAAAATAAAGAAGAACTTTATCTTGATAATCAAATTTAGTTTCCATAAAATTTTTATAAATTTTAAGAAAAAGCCAAACACAAAAATATATATGTAAGCCTTATACATGCTTCAGTAGGGGAAAAAAAAATCAATTTTCATGGGAGACAATCACACCAATCACTCTCCCCTTCCCTTTACTTACCCTATTGACTATTTAAGATGAAGTCAGAGAACCTGAAACATCTGCAGCTTAATTTCTTTCAGGAATCCATGATACTGATTCTGAATGCATCAGTATTACTTATCAATTTTTTCTTACATTTGTTGTAACAAAACTATCAATTAAAATAAGGCTCCTGACATGCGGGATAGAATGAATAACTAAATATTTGGTCAGCAGTCTATAAAGTGACTATCCAAATATTTTTAACTACTGTGTAAACACTTATGAATATATTTACAATTGTATAATTAAGATCGGCAATCCCTCACCACATCCCAGATGGCTGTTTCTAACAATTTAGGAAAAAGTCCTTTCTGCATATAGACATGCTTCAAAGTTGGCAGTCTATAATTATTTTTAAGTAAAATTCAAGGTAAGGAAAGAACTATGCATTTCTGGTTAAGTATCCCTAGACTGAAAAGTAATTATATAATTGAATAAAGATTTTACATGGAATAATAGCAGAAACTAGAATTTATTGATAACTTACTATGTGCCAGGTGTTATGCACTTACATATTATTACATTATTTAATACTCACAGTAAAGTAGGTGTCAGATGGGTACTTTACTACTATATCCATTTTATAGATGGAAGAACTAAGGCACAAAGAGGTTAAGTAACTCACCCAAGTCACAAAGTTAGGAAGTAGTGGAGCCACTGTTAATACTTAGCATCTCCATTTTAGACATCCTTACCAGCATCAAAATCCTGGTGGTTCCAGTCTCAAAGCAATTTTGTCAGAAGCAGCAACCGGTGGCATTTTTAGATCATTTCTAGACTAAAGTTCACTCACCTAAAATGTTTACCTGTCAAATTAATACTGCCAAGTTTCTCTAGTCTAATCAGCAGGAGCCTTATGCTTCTTCCTGAACTAGGTGCACATGATGCTGTCAGAGAGAGAATTATATTTAACCAAGACAAAAGGGTCTGTGTGGGTTAGCTCCACATCAGAACATACAGCAATGGCAGTAAAAAAAAAACATATTCAGAGGTACTTGAGAAATTTCAAGGGTACCACGTATGTGGTGTGAGCCTGATGGTTCTGGAGAGTGGGTACTCATTTTGACAGGGCTTTGTGATATGCATGCTCACTTTAAAACAAAATCAATTAAATCCAGTAATGCGCCCCATCCAAACACTTTAAAGTACAAGTAGTATAGTCTGAAAAACCTAAAAATCAATAGGCAACATTTAATGAATTCAGTAATGACAGATAAAAAGATGGGCAAGGCTGAATTTAATCTGTGATTCTCGGAGAAGCAATAATGCTACAGTAATTGCCAAAGGAGCATGTAGAAAAATTTCTCATTTATCAGTAGCTGCTGTAACTAGCCCATACAACAGTTTCTGCATACACTTTTTTGTAGATATAGAGCAGATTAGGAACTATGAAAAGGCCTCAGCAAAGGGTCAGAAATTCAAGGAACAGTGACAAGTTTAAGACTGAACTCAAAGTGGACAGTACTGTGACAATTGTTGTTTACCTTCATTAATACTCCACTCAGAATCTACTTAGTTTCCCTGCAGCTCTTTCTCTCTGCCCTCTGGTTGACTCTTAAATTAAAAGTTCCATCCTTAACCCTCTCTTAAGGACTATGGTGATTTAGTAATACCACCTCCAAGTTGAACTCATTAAAACATTAAAATATGCTACATAAACAACCCACAGAATAGTTTTGAAATGAAATACATTAATGTTACTTTTTAATCTGTGGCCCTTGGTAGATAAAAGGTTGCCCTTTTTTGATTTAAAAGATTTTGTCAATTCAGACAGAAATAATTAACTTATCATTATTTAGTGATTACAACTTTTTAAATATAAAGGGAATTGAGAATTATTCAATACCACATAGTGAATGTAACATTTCCTCTTTGGGAATACTATTCAGAGAGAAGCCAATTCCTATGAACTCTAACAAACCCCCCCCAAAACAACAACAAAAAACTGCCAAAGAATATACCAACACCTAGAATGAAGGCTAATGTAAACTATGGTGCAATGTAGGTACCTCTATTATAACACAAATGTACTAATCTGGTGGGGGATGTTAAGAATGGAGGAGGCTATGCATGTAGGAGGCACGTGGGAAATCTCTGTACCTTCTTCTCAATTTTGCTGTGAACCTAAAATGGCTCTAAAAAAATAAAATCTCAAAAAAAAAACCATACCGGATTCACATTTCTGAGACTAACAAAAACCATGTCAAAATCCATTTTATAAATAATTATTAATTATGGTTCAATATATACTTAACATATTATTAAAAATAATCCCATGGAAAATTATATCTCACAAGTATCACAGATTACTACCACATTCCAATAATGGAACCTCTTTCTCTGGTCCTCATCTCCTATTACTTCTCTTATTACCCACTTCCTAAGTTCCTTAAAAAGGTCTTTAATTTTGGCTACTTCCAAGTCAAGAAGCTTTCAAAAAGCCAAACTACCACTTGCAGATATAAAGCTTTTAGATCTGTATTTCACAACTTTGGTTTGTTTAAAACCCATATTGCCTTTTTATATGAGGGAAAAACCTCCTAGTTTTGATTATTTGAAATTTGAAAATAAACTATATGGTTACTAGAACCAAATCAAAGCAATGGTAATATTAGATGTTTTCTAAAACTATATATGGTTCTCTGGAAACTTAAGTACTTTCCCTGCGTAGAGCTGAGACTCATGGTTTAGGTACAGTTTTTTACTCACTGGATCAAGCTTACTAAACATCTAGAGCAGTGATCTTCAAACTCTTAATTTGCAGATCTCCCTTATAAATAAGAAAATTTTACATAAGTATATACATCTTACTTGTAAATTTTTAAAGTGTACTTTTTATAAAACCAGAGTTCTTAAAGAGATAGGATAAGTATAAATATTAAAAACTAATTTCTACATTTCGTAAAGGTAAATCATTTAATTTTTCACTATCGTGAGAATGATGTGATTTAATATGCTTCACTAAAAAATCATTTAATACCTTGTAACAGTGATTCAGAAATCTGATTCTAAGCTTGGGTTTTTTGAAATGTGATTTAACACCTGCTAGTGTTGGAAAAGAGAACTCATAATATATAGATAAAACTAAGTACCTTTTAGGCTGTGCTGTCATTTTCATCTACCGATTATGCAAGTTTTTAACAAGATTTATCTAGTATATTTTCATCTCCCTGGCTCTAAGTCAGCTTATTATATGCTCATATAAAAGTGTTACTATTTCATATTTTTAACAAAGAAGTTAAGCACCCACTGAAACTCCAGAATAAACTTCTGAACAGTTTAGAAAATTCTATCTCTAGGGTTTTTAAAGTATATAGATTTGAGTTTCTAAAGGAGACAAACTTACATCTCCAACTACTCTCCTCTTTGCTTACTCCATTCCAGCAACATCTTTCTGCTATTCCTTAATATCCCAAGCATATTTTCACTTCAAACATTTGGGTTTGCTTTTGTTATCTGCATGGCTCTTTCACTTCCAAACCTTAGGATCTTCATGGCTTAACCTCCTTCACTGCCTTCTGGTCTTAGCTCACTGTGTTCCCTGACCATGTTAGGTAAACTAGAACACCCCTCCCTCCACATCATTCTCTATCTGTTTCCCCTGCTTTATTCATCTCTCTAGCACTTATCCTCACCTGACATACTTTATTTTTTCATAGTCTGTTTCTTTTCATTCAAATATCATCTTGAGGAGAATAGAGAAGTATTATTTGTTCACTACTGTCTTTGATATCACCTAGAACAGTGACTGGCACATAGCATGTGATCAATAAACATTTGTTGAAGGAATAGATATAATAATTTAAAGTAATATAATTCATAAATCCTCTCTCTGGCACTATATTGAAATGGAGGAGAAGTGAGGATGTCACTGTCAACCCCTATACATTGTGAAATTCACATTATTTTTGCAAGGATTCTCACATAATCTATTGAGAGGTGGTTTATGTATATACATACAGATAAAGTTAGGGCACCAAAGCCAAGCCAGATACGAAATATTAGTACATATTAGTTTTTATACTAATTATATAGATTAATTATATAAATAGAAATCCCATTATCTTATTCTCACATCAAGAGAAATGAACCTTGTGTATTTTGAAAATTTTGTTCAGGAATACTAATATTCTCCCACCTAGAAGTATGAGGAACCTCCTTGTTTGATCACCTCTTCTGATATAAACTACTTCCTAGTTATTAATACTAATCACTATTAACCAGTTGAAATGAACATTAAAGTTTAATAAATCTTCCATGGTTTAGGCCCTTTAAAGCAAAATAAAAATAGTATGTTTTTATCTCTATTGTAGAATCCAGGGTTCAGAAAGTCCAACTTTTCTTCTGCAAATATACACACTTAAAATTGTAAGCATAGCTCACCTTAATGGAAAAATGTGCTCTTGAAAAGATGAATACATATTTCTATACAGTTAATGGGCATATAGTCCCCAGGTCTAAATTATTTTATTTTTTTAGAGACAGGGTCTCACTCTGTCACCTAGGCTAGAATGCAGTGGGCATGATCATAGTTCACTGTAACCTCTAACTCCTGGGATCAAGTGATTCTCCCGCTTCAGCCTCCTGAGTAGCTGGGACTACCAGTGTGTGCCACTGTGCTCAGCTAATTTTTTTATTTTTTGTAGAGATGGGGATCTCACTGTGTTGCCCAGGCTGGTCTCAAACTCCTGGCCTCAAGCAATCCTTCTGTCTTGGCCTCTCAAAGTGCTAGGATTACATGCATGAGACACCATGCTTGGTTCTCCAGGTCCAAAATATGTTGTCCCAGAATAAAGATTAAAATTAAGCATATAATCAATGATATCACATATTAAAACCAAAAATTATAGTCTCAGCAAATTTTGTGGCTATAATTTTAGTAATTTTTGTGTGTTCTTTATAGAAAGATCTTCTATATGGCTACATAGGGATGATGTGACAAGGTCATTTGACTTATAAATGTCCAAACTGGGTCTAGGTTTCCTGACTGACAGGTCAAGTTCTTTCCACTATTATTAAGAGGAGAATATGGCAGGGAATTAGTAATGGGATAGTATGGAGAATGGTAAGTCAGCATTCAATGGAATAGTAACTGAGGCAAAGGACTAATGCTCAGTCACTGTGATTTCTTAGATGTATCAATTCTTAGGTCTTTACCTGGACAATATTATCTTGTACTTGTTAGCAAATTCCATTTTCAGTGTCTTATGGAAATTCATACAACTTAATGATTTCACATAAAAACATTATTTCTTTTCTTCCCACCCCCCTGCCCCATATAAGTGTCGAAGCAAACCAAAAGCACAAGGACAGAATGAAGTAGAGGTAGGTAAATGCAGCTCAATGACTCAATAGTATAAATGGCTGATGAAATCTGATGACATTAATAGAATGCTTCCAGGACAAAGAGAGCACTTCTCCTCTCTACAAGTATCAACCAGTTCTGGTTACCACACTCAAGGAAAACGCAACAGCTCTCACCCAGAAGAAAACCACCAGGACGGTGAAGAGGAATCAATGCTATGTCTTATAATAAATGGCTGAAGAAAAATAGGAATTTGTTTAATCTAAAAATTTTCTTAAAAATATGAAGGATGTGGGGTATAGGGAACAGGAAGCAGTCTAACAGAAAAGGACTTGCTAACTTAATTTCCAAGAATAGAACTGGGATCACCTGGTAAAAGTTTTAGGAAGCTACAGTTTTGCTCACCACGGGAAAGAATATTTTGGCAGTCATTCCTAATTATAAATAGGTTACTTCAGGAAACTCTGAAAGTGCTCAAGTAATGCTCTACTACCATTTAGAAGAGGGGAGAAATGTTACATAGGGGAGTTAAGTAACAGACTAAGGGCTAGGTAGGTAACAAGTTTGGTGTAGACCTAGAAGATCTCTAAGGTTTTTACTCAAGTTGAAATTCCATGTTTATAGAGGAGAAGGACAAAGACATAAAGAATAATTTCTCACCTTCCTTTCTAATAATAGTTCTCTCCAAATCTAGGACCTAGGACTCACCTGTGTTCCGGAGAAAAGTCTTTTTAAGTCCTTACAGGAAGACTGTGAAGCAAAAAATATGAAATGGGAGGCTGGGGTTATGGCCTACTTGAATGAACATTCAAGTCTTTTTTTTTCTCAATAAGCTCAATTGCAAAGATCTATACTGCTCTTGGTTCCCTACAGCTAAACAGAGTAGTCACCTTCAAAGATTTACAGTGACTTTTTTCCCTTTGGATCAAACCCAAAGGAAAAATCTCCTCAAAGAATAAGATAACATGCATAGTATCATCTCTGACCCTTAAGATGTACCTTCTGAATATATTATTATTTCAAAGTTATATACTCTAACTGAAACCTTAAACATAGCTGATTTTACAAATGCTTGAGTGATCTCTAAGCTCAACTAATATCTTCAGTAAGGTTATTAACTAATTTTTGATCAAGGGTTTATTTTCTTTTTCCAATTGCAGGTTTAGAAAATTATACAGTTATTATTTTTATATCTCAGTTTTCCTTAACTGAGGTACATCAACTCTACACAGTCTCTCCCAAGCATTTCCACTTTATCCCATGTACTTAAAGTACTTTCCCTGATCAATTCTTTTTCTTCTGTACCTGATGAAAAAGTCATTGTTTTTATGTCTATTCTTGTGTATATATGTTCCTATACATAAGGTGACTTTACAGACGCAGCATATTCCTTTACTGTGGAGTAAAATAAACTCTGAACTAGATGTGCTCTTATTTTCATAACTAATGAAAGGAGAGAGATAATGGCTATAAACAACAGTTATGAAAGTAGATGCAGAACTTTTTATACACATACCTGAACTGTCTGGACTTGTGGAGACTGAATAACTGATGGCTGGGCCGCCTGAATAACTCCATGGACTTGAACTGTCTGCCCGTTGGGCAGCTGTACTAAAGTTACGGTGGGAGCAGATGATGTTGCATGAGCTGCTGGCATAGATACCTATGGTGTTGAACATAGAAAAAAATTACCATCACAGATACCTCCTTGGGAGTACTCATGTTCAATATGAAATATCTTTTTAGAAGCAAAAATACTTATATACTTTCTGTTAGATAAGTATTTCACCAATATGAAAGAAACTAATGATTTAATACTTTTTTTTTTTAGAGACAGGGTCTCACTCTGTCACCCAAGCTGGAGTGCAGTGGCAGGATCACAGCTCACTTGCAGCCTCAAACTTCTGGGCTCAAGCAATCCTCCTGCCTCAGACTCCCAAGTAGCTGGGACTACAGGTATGTGCCACCATGCCTAGCCAAAAAAATTTAATATTCTTTAAAAAAGGAAAAAAAAAAAAACTCTACAAAAAAGCCAAAAACTACCCCCCTCCCATTTTTAGCTCTTCCCAAATGACAAAAAACTATTTTAATGTTACATTAAAATATGTAACAGACTTCTTCTGAACACTAAGTACCACTTTATTTGTATGCTGCTTTATATTTTCCTACCTGCTTTTATATCTGATTTCTCATTTTGTTCTTGAAGAAAACTGAAGACTGGGCAATAAAGAGTATCTCCATTTTAAACACAGAAATAACAACTGCTCAAAGAGTTTAAGTAATTTACCCAAGGTCAACAGATATGCTAGCCCTGAAGAAACATAAAGGTCTTCAGAATATCATGTGTTAAATGAGCCATGTTTTAAAATCTAATTGTTCTCAAACTTGAGCAAAACTGACCTGCTAAGTCTAGAACTAAGGAAATTTTAATGAGTCAATATCCAGGTTAAGAGTCCTTAAGTCATACATGTCTATCAGATGGGATTCATTGTTCCTATGATTGAACACACTCAAAGTAGGAATTTTATTTGCTCATTCAGTAAACAGTTATAGGGGACCTATGTGCCAGGAGCAACATTAGAACTGAAACTACAAAAAGGAGAAACATATCGGTCTCTGACCTCAAGGAAATCACTGGGGGTGTGTGTGTGAAGGAATGGGGAAAAGAGGCACAAGTAAATACAATTCAGTGGAGTAATGAATTTGCTAAGAGAAAAATGGACACATTGAAAAAAGCTACCCTACCCAACCTAAGAGGAGGGGAGGCTTCCAGGGAAAAATGTGAATTTGGAACAAAGAATACAAGTTAGACTTGTTATTATTATTACTTGCAGGGGAGAGGCATAGAATTTTAGGGAGCAAGGTTAACAACACCAGAAGCAAAATAGCATACATGGCAAAGAGGGATAACCAGCAGTTCAGCACTACTGGAGCACCCATGTATTTTACTGTATGATGTAGGAAGTACCCAGAGAGAAAATAATAGAGGTAGGCAGGGGCTAAATGAGCTAGTCATAAAAAACCTTGTTCATGTCACATTAAAGAACTTGTATTTTATCCTGAGGAGGCTGAGGAAGCCACTGATGGGTTTTTAAAACTCCTTAATTTCATAGTGAGGTTTGCATTTAGATAGATCATTTTAGTGGCAGTGTGAAAGATACATATTTCAGGTGGAGAAAAAGGTGGTGGTGGGGAGAAAGCAGTAGTTAAGGTATGAGATGATGAAAGCCAAAAATAGGGCAGCAGCAGTAGTAGGGATGAGAATGAGAGAAGTGATTTTATGAAAATTTGGGAACAGATCAGGAGGAATAAAAAATTACCCATGTTTCCATATTTGAGAGAAAACAGGGAAACTATGTCATTAACTGAAACAGAGAACACAAGATGGATAAGCTTTTGGGTTGTAATGGAGGATGATGAAATTGATTTGACATCTGAATTTGCAGAGATACTTAGTAGGCAGTTAAGTATTTGACTGTGAAGCCTGGGGGGAAGATCCCTACTGAAGACAAGAGTGTTTGGCACATAGATTAAAACTATGAGCTTCTACCTTTGGACAGTTAGGAAGTCCTTCCTCTGTAATTACTTCTCTTTGGCCACTGTAAGTCTTGCTTAGTTTTACCTGGTTCTCAAAATGTGGTCCACAGACTACTTGCATTATAATTACACAGGGTGCCCTGTTTGTAAAGTCAGAATCTAAGAGGAACCCAATGATATTTTCTCCTACACTGAAGTTTGAGAACCACAACCTTAAGGTTATTCAGAGTATTTCATCTCAATTTCATATAAATGCTTTTCTAATATTTGAAGCAATTATGTCCTCTTCCCTGAGTCTTCTCTAGGGTAATTATAACAAGCTAACTCAATGAATAACTCCTTTCCTACCCTTATCATTCTACATAACGACTGGTTGCATTATGAGTTTATAAAATACAAATACACAAAAATAAAATAAAAATCCTGTATATTCTTATAAACCAGAGCTAATCAGTGTTAATATTTTTGCTGTAGATCTTCTAGATGTTTTTTAAGGCACATGCATACAATCAATTTTTATAACACACTATTGTGGAATCTATTTTATCTTTCCAATGTGTCATAAATATCTTTCCATACCATTAGTAGTCTTCTTTAACGGTTTTAATGGCTGAACAGAAAATTACATAATTTGTTAAATAAATTCCTTACTGTTGGATATTTAAGTTTTCAAATTTGCCTACTAAAAGAAAGCTACAATGATCATCCTTTTACTTTTTACTTAAATCTATAAAAATTTACACTCTCATTGCCAGTTTTTCTTTCAGTTTAAAAAAATATCTGTAAATTCTAAAAGTAAAATCAGGTATATCATTTTTTTTTTTTGGAGACAGGGTCTCCCCTCTGTCACCCAGGCTAGATTGCCAGTGGTGTCATCATAACATCATAGCTCATTGCGACCTCAGACTCCTGGGCTCCAGTGATGCTCCTGCCTTAGCCTCCCGAGTAGCTGGGACTATAGGCATGCACCACCACGTCTGGCTAATTTTTCTATTTTTTGTAGGGACAGGGTCTCACTATGTTGCCCAGGCTGGTCTCAAACTCCTGGCCTCCCACAGTGCTGGGATTACAGACGTGAGCCACCATGGCTGGCCTCATTATTGTTTTAGGTTGACTTTCTTCCTATTACTACTTAGGCTGAATTTGCTTTCTTCTGTTCACTGACCAAATCACAATCATCTTGGATTTGTGTGACAATTTTATTTTCCTGGCATTTAAAGATTGACATTAAAAAGTAACAGGAATCAGAATTATGAGAAGAAATGTCAAAAGTGTATGATGTTATGTGTGTTAAGGAACTTGGATAAGCAAGTGAAAAAAATTCTGTAACTGGGAGTAAAAAGACCTAAAAACATATATAAATGGGAACAGATACTATAACTCAAATCTGATGTCACTCTACTTTTAAGTCTTCAGTACTAGAGGGCTGCCTGGTAAAGATGATAAACTGAACATGTACATATCATTTTGTTCCCTCCTGAATCCTTAATTATACTTCACAAAATTGATTTTTTTTTTTACAGGCATAATGACACCAGCATAGGAGAATGGGAAAGGAGATAATAGTAATGGAGTTTTGGAAGCTGGAAAGCAGGTGGATGAATGGTAATGAACTGGGAAGACCTCAGCAGGCCAACTCATGATTTGGAAGCAGGCAATGCCTGATTTGTACCACAAGATCTTCAAGAGGATCAGGATCTATGGCACCCTAGAAGGTGGAGTGAAAAGAGACCGAAAATAAGGAAGGCTGTGAGGAGGCTTTTTCAGAAGCAATTGTATCCCCTCTCCTACTTTCTGTGGAAGAACAACTAATCTACTCCACCCTGACACAAAATGGAAATTATTCTCTGGACAGATGGTCTCTTGAATTCGAACACCAGGCATTGCTAAAGGTGGCTACTAGAGCCCAGCCCTCTTCTCTTACTTGGCTCCCAGGCCTCTTCTCTATAAGCAGGGGATTAGTGAAGCCTTCTTTGGGGAACCTGACCAATACTCAGAGGAAAGACCTAAAAGATACTGACATTAGGACCACCACTATCACCCTAAAGTGAAGCTCACAGCTCACACAGCTATTAGGCACCAAATATCCAAAGAGCTTCCAATATAGCTTTTTGGTCCCCTATTTTTAAACCTGAGCACACAACTACAAAATATCAAACGTTTGAGAAAAGCCTCTAACATGAAAGATGGGGATCAAAACAAATGTGTGTGGGAGGCTATATGGAATATCTATGTGGGGTGAAGAAAATGAAACAAAAAAAACCTAATTAATATACTCAGAGATAAGAGAAAATACTGCCTTTGTGAAACATAAATAAGATGCTATTAAAACAAAAAGAAAAAATAACTATTCAGAGGAAAAAATAATTCTTGGAAATAGGATAACGGAAATAAAAAATTCAACAGATGGGTTGGAATATGTTGAAGAAATCTCCCAGAAAGCAGAGCAAAAAAGATGTAAAACGGGAGGAAAAAAGATGAGAAAATTAGAGAAACAGTCCTAAAAGTATACTGTCTGGATCACAAGGATTCTAGAGGGAAATTAGAAAGAATAAAGGAAAAATACCACCAACCAAATAATTTAAAGAAATTGCCCAGGATCGAAGACATGAGTTTCTACTACAAAAGGGCCCACTGTATATATAGCACAGTGGATAAAAACTGATCCAAATCAATGTCCATGATAATAAAATTCTGAAGCACCATGAACAAAGATTTTGTAAGATACCAGAGATACAAAATAAGAAATGAATTTAATGTTTCCAAACAACACTAGAAAAAGCTAACTGTGGATCAAATCTTTAAAAATTCCAAAAAAAAATTGTTACCAAGTCAAACCTTCTTTCTCAAGAAACCATAGGAAAACATGCTCTACTACACCAAGAACACAAACCCCAAAAGAAAAAGACAGCAGGATGAAAGGAGTTCCCAGGGTGACACTATACAGTAGACTTAGAGGACAACCAGATGAGACAAAATGGTATGACCCAAGAGACAGATATGCTAGGGATAGTCACCATCAAGATGCATGCTGGCCTTGTACCTTCTTTTTACCAGAGGGCAGAATGCTTGGCTGAGCTCTGATTCTCACCTGGGGTTGCTTGCCTTGACCCTATACTGATGGAAGTCCTCGCTCTCTTCCCTTCTTTCCTTCAGCCTGCCTCATCTCAGTACACTTAGTGTATGTGGCTTTGTCTTACTCCTGAGGGTTGGAAATCCAGTATCTGACCTACACTTTAGCTCAGTCAGACACCCTAACTGTGGTGAGCCCTTTATTTCCATGATTCATTTTTGCTCAGTGACTTCCCTAGGAACTTTTAAACTCTTGGGGAAACTGAAGCTAGACATACCAGAGCTTCTGCTAGGATTATTTTCTTCTGGGAGCCTTTATCTGAAAGAGACAATATGATATTCTTACCTAGCAGGTTAATATTTGTGGTTTGGCTTTTATGTTAACCACTTTTCTCACCCATATCTATGTAAATAGTTGTTAATAATATATTTGAGAAAAAAATATGTGAGAACAAAAAAATAAGAAGGAGAGACTATCCTAAAGATAGGATGTTTAAGACAAAGATGAAAGAATCAGGAATTGTACTTAAAATATACAGGAAACAAAAAACTACTAACAACCTTGAAATTTACTTATATGTCAATTTATTTGCTTACCCTATTTTTTAGTTTAAGCATATATAAACTCAGGCTTTCATATCATCTGCACCCATATGCCCAAAAATAAATCTGTGTGATATTAAAAAAAAAGCAGTTGTCATAGCCAAGATTTTCTTTCCTGGAGAGAGCCAATTTACTCACCAGTTAAAAACGTAATCATTTCTGGATCATGTCACTACAAATACTATATTAATGTTTAACAATACATTTTACTATTTGTTACTGAATTAATACTATCATTTCTAAACATATGCTTATACTAAGTAAATAGGAATTCTGATATTCTAAGAACATCTCTGGTCATTCTATGTATATCTCTGGAATAAAAACTAAATTCTCTTGGAAACATACTCCTCTTGGAAGAGACACAGCTTGGAATCTCTCCATATGCTTTATACCTGGGCTAATGTGGCAATCTGTGGCTGGGCTTGAACTGTCATTTGTTGGTTTTCAGCTTCTGTTACAGCTGCATCTCCACTCTGCTGGTTCTCTGCTCCAGATTCCATGGTCATTTAGTTACCTATAATAATATGGAAGAATGTTACAAGCACTACAGTGCTTTGTGCTTTCATGACTTTAAAGGTAAATTTCAAGTTATAAATAGGTATATGTGGTGGTTAGGTTAGCAAATGCACTCAGAAATCTAGTTAAAATATAATGTAGCTGAATTATTGTCAAACTTGTCCAAATTTGCTGAGCTGTAAAAGTTCCAGACCCTTCCAAAAATAAAAATCTTTCTTTTCTCTTGGCTGTTTCTTCCCAATTGGGATATTACCCCATCTAGAAATAATTAGGGATTCCTTTCTTCCATGAATCTCCCCTACTAACAAGGAGAAGAGGGATGGCAGTAAAATTATAATCTTCCCAAACTGTACCAATCAGGTACAGAGAGAAGGTAGAGAATAGAAGTGAGCTAACAACAGAATCTATGAGATACTGGCTTCATGGTATCTCCTATATGTGTATTTCCCCTATAAGAGAGAAGTAGCAGAGAAATTGCAAGCTACTTTCACAAAAGATTACTGGTGGTAGGGCAAAATTAGATCAAGTTTCAAGAGCCTAAGTTGTGGGACATTAATATATAATAGAAAGGTAGAATAAATGGACACAGAGCCAAATTGGAGGCCCCAAACACTAAAAAAGTTAAGGTGTTCTGACTCCTCACCCCACGTATAGTGTGCAACACTACACCACACACATATATACATACACAGAGAAATAAACTACCTTTAAAAGTTTTAACTGTAAAATTCTGGGTAAGTTAATTAAGATTTCTTTGTCACTTTTTAGAGCCTGCTTTGCTAACAGCTTAGTATATCTGTTGGGTAATCTGGCAGTGGACGGTAGCAGAAGTAAGTGAAGAGCAATTCCTAGTAGCAGTGGCTACTGTACATGGAGGTCAGAGAAATTTCTGATAACTGGGGAAGCAATCCTGCCTAAAGGATTCAGGAAAACAGGCAATATTCATAGTACTTGTTATAATTCAGTGCTTAGCACATTACCTGTCGAAAATGAATTTATTAATAGTGTGGGACTACCTATAGTGATTCCACAAATAACACAAAAAACCCATTGCTTTTCCAGAATACATTTCATTTATTTTATAACTCTGAAATTGATAATCAAAATTGTCATGGATCCTTATGTGATCCTTATACACCATCACAATGTATTACATACTAATATATCTTGCTATCTTCATAGGGTGCTATAAAAAGAAAGTGTTTTACAAGTGACAGTTAAAAACGGAAATGAAAATATCTCTGTGGAAATGAATATAAATAGTTTAGAAATACCAGAATCTACAAAACACAGATGACAAAGGAAAAGATTAACAGATTTGACAATATTATTATTTAAAACATTCACTATTCCTAGGACTGAGTTTGCAAAAAAACAAAGAAAACATTCATAAAGTCACCAACGTAAGTGCACGAGGAGAAAGTATCTGCCACATATAATCAACACAGTAATATCCAACATACAAAACTGCTACCAGTCAATACAAAACTATTATTGACTAGTTCAGAAAGATAAAGTTCAAAGGTATTCACTGTAGATTTTTTTTTAAATAGCAAAAAAACTGAAAACAAGTATCCATCATTAGGAGAACCATTAAAAATAGTCTACCTATAATGTAATGACATACTGTAAAATAGAACCCCATTTATGTTACAAAAACAAGTAAAACAAATTGTTGTAAAGGTGTATGCATGGAAGAGACGTGGGAAGTTAAACACTAAATTGTAAGCGGTAGCTGTGAAGAGAGAATTAGGATTTGGCAGAACTACAGAATGATGACTTTTACCTTTTACTCTTTACATATTTTAGTATTGATTCAGGTTTTTTCTTCCTGTGAGCATGGATCCAGGATTACTTGTACAATTAACAAAATTTTTAATATCAGAAATCATATATAACATTTTAAAACTATACTTCAATCATGATTTTGAGATACTCAACAAAAAATTTTTCAAATCCCAGATATTTTTTTTAACACGAATAGTACATACTTTATTATGTTCACAACATTTTTTTAAAATTTCAGAATATTACAGGGGTACAAACATTTTGGTTACATAAATTGCTTTTGTACCATCTGAGTCAAAGTGTGCCCATCCTTCAGATAGTGTGCACTGTACCTGTTTAGGTGTGAATTTACCCATCCCCTCCTCCCCCCTCCCTTTTTACATGAAATGACCATTTATGTTTAAATTTTGCCTAAACTGTTTACTCTACATTTCTAAATAATAAAAATTAACGGTTTTTTAAAAATTATCAAATAACTTTAGTTATTATCACTTGTAATAATTCACTGAGTTGTATACTTACAATCTGTGCTCTTTTAAACTAAAAAATTTAAGAAAGACATCAAATGTAACAGAAAACAACAACAACAACAAAACAGTTCACCTATCTTGAAAGTTACCCATACTTTTGGTCTGGAAGAAAATGGTATGCAAAAACAAAAAACCTCATTTCAATAACAATAAATGAATGAATCCATTCAAGGATGCTATTGAGTCAAGCTAAATAAGAGTAAACATCCATAAATTTTTCCCCATTTTCTCCCCTAAATAATCATTTTCAACTAGGATGAAGATAAACAAATGCAAATTTATACCTCTGTAGACAAAGTATACACAACCATTTTTAAAAGACTTTATTCTAAGCCACATTTTTTAAGCTATGCTGTCATCTGATATTTATAGTTTCACTCTACTCTCTGATTAAATGTAATCTGAAGCACAGATCAGTCACATTTCTTTTGTTTTTGTTTGCTCTACAACAAATTGAGACTAATTTTTTGACGTTTAAGGTACAGGGCATCATTACAACTTTTTGTTTTGGAAAATAAAACATTTATTACTGTATTTTAATAAAGGAACAAAACCATTACTGATATAAGTTAATTATAGCTGCAAAGACATAGTCAAAATGATTTTCATCCTTCTTCCCTCCACAACTGGATAATATTTCTTTTTTTAAGAAACCAAGGTATGATATTTCCAATGGATAGGAGCTCTCATTTAAAGTGCTAATGTTTTATTATTATTTCATTCAGGTGGCCTACCGATCCTTTTTCAATGTAGGGCACAGTCTTCTTAATTTTTCTCTTAGCTTAAGTAGATACCAACAACCTCTTGGGCAACAGTACAAATATAGTCTTTCATCGAAAAACTTAGGCCTTTTCTCAAACTGCTGGTAAGAATTATTTAAGGAAGACCAGTTTTTTCAGATGAGAAACTCAGTAACTCAACTAAAACAGACACTGTTATTTTTTTCACCTTGAAGGTACTGAAATAGCAATCTCCTAACTGGACTAAACTATTAATAGCATTTAAAGTGGGTGCAATTATTTTGACTTTGAAAGCTTCTGCTAAAGAGATGGCATAGTATCATGTGTAGGATCTTCAATTTTTCTATTAATCCAGTCTCAGTCTACCCAAGCAGTGCTGTATCTAGACACAGGATTAGATATTAGGGGAAATTTATATGGGTTCCTAAAGTTGTTTGAAGAAAGGAGATTCCTAATTCACTAAACATATGCAAAAATACAAAAAACCCAAAATTGAATAATGCTAAAAAATAAGAAAAAGACTAGATACATATGAACTCAGAATGTTGTAGGAATATTGGGCCTGAAATATTAGAAACAGAATGGATCTTAGAAATCACTTAAAATATATTAATGTTATTGGCTTGACAATACTGTAATTCTTGTTCTTCCAGTAATTATGAATTTTAAAATTCATCTGGGATTAATGTTGAAAAGTTGAATTATCAAAATTTATCCTTAAAATTAGCATAAGACTAATCCTTTGGAAACTATGAACTTAAAACAAATTTCAAAATAGTGTCATGCCTAAAAGAAACAAATTTTTAACCAATTCACAAAGATATATACCATTTTGCTATTATAATGGTCTCCAGAATTCTACCTCCTAATATGAAAAATAAAAAGCAAAGTGATTCTGTAATATTATTCACCCAATCTTATAAAAAACAAAAAATGCCACTATAAAGTAGGTGGGAAACAGAGCCCAACACTTGGTGGAAAGCTGAATTTGTAAACAAGTGACACTGTGACCAAGTGGCTGTTGGACAAATTAAACTTTCTGTGTTTCAGTTTCTCATTTCTCATTTGTAAAAAACAAGATGAATGAATTAAAAGATCTCTTCCAATTTTAAATCCTCTGATCCTAGGAACTGAGACCATAAAAAGATGTACGCACACACACATAATTATACAGGCCACATAATAAAATAATATTTTGGTAAAGGAAGTATTTCTTTTTACTATATACTGATTCACATAGCAAAGACAGATTGAATAAGAATAGGTCACCTAGCCTCTTTATCTTGGGCAAATACAGAGATATTACCATTCATTTTATAATCATGAGAATGCAATACAACTTGAGATTATTAGCAGTACTTGAAAAAAAATTGCTACAAGACCAGACTATTATCCAATGAAGATTCTCTTTCCCATGTTGGACACTGTCTCTTACTCATTACATTGCTCTGATCTTAACTGTTATGTTATTAAATAGGTCAATAGTCCCTTTGCTTAATTTTCAAAGAAAAAGCTGTTTTTCCTTTCTATCTTAGCTTCAAGAAATTTATCTGACTAGGTTTCCAAATAATAAAGGGCTTTGTCACTTTTATATCCTTTCCATAATTTTAATATTAGATATTAAATAGTTTAAACATCCCAGCAAAGTGTCAAATGAGTGCTTCCATGACTTTTAAAAGAAGAGAATATGTTCTGCAACAGTCAGGGGAGTGTTGGAATTCCAAAGAGGCATTAAGGATGAATACAACAGTATTGATAAATTTGGGAAAGAAGACCTTTTCTGATAAGAAAAACAGTATAAGCAAAGGCTTTAACTATGGGCCTTTAGACAAATGAGCGAGTCAGTGGCTGGTATCAGACCTTGCATAAGCAAGGAAAGCAGGGAAAAAAGACAAATGATAATAACTACTGGGGATAAAGCAATGAACAAAATAAAATTT